AAGAAAACATTGAGTCACCTACGACAGAGTTTTTACTGGATAGGGATGAGACAAGATGTGGAAGAATGGTGCAGAACATGCAGTACATGTTGTGCAAAAAAGGGACCCAAGCATAAGGGACGCCCACCTTACGAAGAGTTGCCTGAGAATGTGTCAGAGTTTGTGAAAGTGTTATTGGAAAGAATGGATGATATTCACCATCAGGTGCATTCAAACTTGAAAACGTCTGCTGATTTGATGAAGTTAACTTATGATAAGACATCTACTGAAGTCAGCTTTGAACCAGGAGACAAGGTGTGGTTGCATAATCCCAGGAAGACCAAAGGGAAGTCTCCTAAGTTGTCTTTTCCATGGGAAGGCCCATATGACATAGTGGATCGTCTCTCAGATGTGACTTTCCGGATAAAATGTGGTAGGCGAGGCAAGCCAAAAGTGGTGCATGCCAACAGGCTTTGGTGTTATCACGGTTCAGGACATTTCAGTTGGGACGAAGTGAACAACAGAACAATATGAAGACTTAATCAGATATTTTAACCTTGTATGTGAAACTTAATATATCTTGTCATAAAAACTCTGTACAACTCTGTAAGTTGTATCATAATCAAACAGTTGTGATCCATTACATTTTGTCATCTTGATATTACTAATGCACTGGAATGAAGTATGACAATGGACAACCCCAGAAATTTCAGTTAAAAGGCAGTATAATAAGGCCAGAAAAACTGTGGTTCTGGTTGCATGAAATTTTAAAAAAGGGGGAGGGAGGCTGGAAACCCAATTTAATGTTTTTTTTACAACTTTGTTTTAGATTAAAAATAAAGTTAACTACCAGTAACACATGAAATGTTTTGACAATGTTATTTGTGACATAAAGAATTTATTTTTTTAAGGTTATGCTTATTTATAGACGATCTGTGTAACATTTATCAGAAGACAATCTTGAATTGTTAGAAAAGCTATAAACGATACTTCTTTGTATAATATATGAACACCTATGCTATAAAATATTCAAATAAATCTTTTTTATTTTTGGATGTTAATTTTCTGCAGCCCAAATACTTCCAATAATAAAGATAAAACAGAGCTTTATACCATCGTATAATTGGGATCTAGATTTCCCAAATGGGAGTAAAAACACTAAATGTCAATAACAAGGTCATGCAGATAGTACTCATATTTTGATAAGTGCCTGCCTCAACTCATAGTCCCTTTATTTTGGTAATTGAAAAATATACAAAATGTCATTACTCTGATACCCACTGAACTAGAGGTTTCAAGACCTCATATTCAGAAGAAGAGTGTAGTGCTTTGTAGTGTTGAATGTCTTGACTCAAGTAATGTCAGAAACACCACCTTTGAAGCCCAGCACAAGTGTATGTAACACTTTGGTACCCTTTTGTCTTAGTGTTGGAAAATTTTGGAGAATATCATGTTTGAAAGCTGTGGGGATTACAAGCTGTAACAAAGGCTGAGAACCACTGGAGTACTTGATAATTGATATTTAAGTAATATGTTATCTTATAATGCATTTTAGACTGCTGTCAGCTTTGCAAGTAATAAAATAGATTTAAGGTGTTAAATGTCCATGCTACATTCATAAACCTCAAATGAGCACACTTTCCTTGCTAAATGGCAAGGAGCACCCATGCTAGATCTGAGTCCTTCAGTTGCTCTTCAAAAAGCTCTCAAAGAGTTAATCATGGCAGTGAAGGTTGGATTTTAATGTAAGTGGACTTTATTGTGTCCAACTGTGACTTCCTCAGGAACCAGAATCTATGAGAATCTAAACTAAAACAAAAACTTATTAATATGTTTGCTTAAGGTGAAGATCTAAACTCCACAATAGCTCTAAAAGTTCTTGCAGCCTTAAACAAAGAAAGTCAGCAGAAACGTTTATTGAGGCTTTGCTGAAAACATAATTTTTAAAATTTGATGCTGTCAAGGAAACCTGCCTTTGAATACTACAATAAACCTCACTAAATCAATACATAGAAAGTCAAAATCTGTACCGAGGTCTATGATGAGCAAGCATGCCTTGTGTTTGTAAAAGCTGTAGCTGCTTTTAGTTATTATTTGAGCTACCAACAAGAAAAAAAAAATATTTCTCTAACCACAAAGTGAGTTATCTTTCTTGTAGGAAAACAATGATAACCACATAATTACTAACACAACCACATTACACTTCTAGTAAAAGAGAAGGTTGAGTAACTTACTAGAGTGCATCACTGTGTTCAAATAGGGAACTACAAAAAATACAATAACCTAAAAAAACTTTTATTCATTAACTAAAAGAGTAGAAAATACTTCAAGCTCTGGATCTTATTCCCAAAACCTGTGGCTATCGACATGATATATTAGTAGACTTCCTCAGGTCAATAATATGGTAATCCTAGATACATTTTTAAGTACTAAAGCAAAACTAGTACTGATCTCTATATAGACTGTTTCTTACTCTTCTTCCATTCCCTTGAGTATCTGAAATTAACACATGTTAAAGGAGGCCTTATTATGTATTTAAGTACAAGTAAGTCTATCATGCACTATAAAATATTTTGTGCAGAGTAATTTTAGAACAGGAAAAAGAAAGGTGGAGAATACCTTGTTAACAGTCCCTTATTGGATTAATTACACATTTACCAACAGATAAGAACTTGTTCGAATTCCATTTTTGATGCTACAGTTGAAGATTGTTTACATATATTTGTTGGGCTATCTTACATGTCTTTTTCTTTTTTTTGAATTTTAGGTAATGAAGACTTCCAAGAAAAGATCAAGTCGATTTTGAGTGAAAAAAATTACTTATTGTTATTCAGGTCTTGCCTTTTGATGGAGGCTTTTAACCTTATTTTTGGAACCAAAGAATAAAAAATCTTACATTTTTGAAGAAAATGAAAACTTAATAATAAGCTTTAGGAAAGTCTTGCTGCATGAAAACCTCCAAAGTTAACTTCATTGTTACTTTGAAGACAAAATAAAGGGTGTAATTTTTAAGTCTTTCCTTAATAAGTTCTTGCAAGTTTCATAAAATCCAGCATTTGAACATTTGTTATACAAGTTTGTTGAGGAAACATTGAAATTTGTAAAAAGCTATTGTGTTCTACTATAACATGTTACTTTTTTAACTTCTAAGAACTCTTAGCTATGGTATTATCAGATAAACTGATTTCCATGCAAGTACCACGTTTATGGGAAATTTACAAAACAGTCTGAATTCTAATACTGAGTGAGTTTTAAGTTGTGTGAGAAATAAAGAGATTGTACATATGATGTAAAGGTAAACAATTTTTACTTCTACCAGAGCCAAAAAAACAGAAAGGCATTGTGTATACTTACATGGATACTTGGACAACCACCTCTACTGGATCAATGAATAGATTGGCAGTTTTCTTTCCTCAAGATGAATATCTGTTGATACCAAGCAGAATTGTTGAGAACTAAGGCTTTGCACTGATACAGGAAACCTTAGTTCCTTTCTTCTTGATAGTATCACCACATGACTGATTATTCTCTGACAGCATCCACAGGTTCGAACAACCAGACATCATGCACTTGGCCTGTGAAAAGGCATTATAGCCATTGACTCTTTCAACACTTAAGCAAAATTACTGCAATAACATCCCTGCAAATAAAGTAGATACCATCTGCTATTGACAACAACAAAGACAACTAGAATGCAAAAAATGCAAGTTTTATAAACCATGTGCTCATGCAAAACTGCATAGAAACTTACAAAATGAAAATACTTAAAAATGTCTGTATTAGTAAAGATGGTGGAAAAACATATGATATGCGTGCATACCATACTTTTCCCCTCCTCACTGCTTCAGATTTGTTCTGAAGCCAACAATTAAAATTAAACATCAACCCAGTAAACTTTAAATTGCAACTTGGTTTTGTTCCCATCTACAATAACATGCCACATGAATGACACAAGTCATTTCCAAAGAATTGCACCCAACTACACAGTATTACAAGTAAATCTTTGATTATGACTAAATAAGTATAACACTGGAATATAAAGAAAATCCTTTAATTACAAGGAAAATTCCACAAACCAACAATTAAAATTAAACTTCAACCAAATAAACTTTAAAATCTGACATAGTCAATAAGCAAATTAACTTTCCTTTGTTTCTACGCATAATATATGCACATAATATATGACACAAGCCTTTCATACACCTAACAACACAATATTATCAAATATCTCTTTGATTATGGTTTAATTAAATATTCTATTGGAATCTAAGGAAAACACTTGTCAGATATACACGACTGTTCATTTTAAGCTTAATACCAGAGTATTATTTAGTTTATATTGTATACTGTTAAAGTAAGTAATTTTTAGAAGCAATAGTTATAGCAGGTTTGCTTACATCACTGTTTACGAATCATTTGTTGAGAACTGATGTGATGTTACTTGAACCTTCAGAATTTTTCTTGTTGCTTTAAGTGAGTATTGTTACATCATAATGTCTCGTAGTTTGTAGAAAGTTCTAGGCCTCAGTCAGGTAATATATATATATATATATAGGCGACCAAGTTAGTAAAAATGGGTTTAGACTGTGATTGCGAGTTTAGTAATAAAGAGGGTATAGTGGCAAGTTCTAAAGCAAGTGTCACAGCTTGTATTGTAATAACAGAGTAAGGAAGAATAATTTGTTTTGTCAAAGGGTGT